CTGCTGAAAAATGAGCACTTTTAAGGCATTATCCTTTGGGGAAGTGATTACAAGCCTTTTCTGTAGCCGCAGAAGAGAACTAGCCCAGAGATCAGTGGGCAACATCTGCAGCGAGTCCATCAGCTCATTACAAAGAACTTCCCAAACAGCCAAACTATGCCAAGCCGGAATGAGCTTCCCTGTGGAAGTGGAATTTTCCACCCCTGAAGGTTTTCCATCAGAAGCTGGCTGATGGTTTATTAATATATTATCAAAGGACATAAAAGAAATTCATAGCTATTATTAACTGAATTCCTAAGTTGTGCCTGGCACAGTGTTAGACTTATTTATGTAGTTTTCTCTTTAATCTTCAAAAGAGCCAGGCAAAGTATGGAAGTATTGCCACCAATTCACAGATGAGGCAGTTTGGGGGTAAGGAGATTAGGTGACTTGCCTGTGGCCACCAACAAACGTAGCAATTCAGATATTCTTTCGAGTAATAAATTTTTTCTCTATTATGAAGACCTAATGAAGTGTAGACCCTTTCCCCAGAAAAACACCGATAAGTATAATTTTGATAAATTACAGTTGGTTTTATAGTTTCCAGAATTCCTTCTTAGAAACCCATTTATCCTGGGTTAAAAATCCATGGTTTAACTTTAAGAAATAAGTCTCTCAACTTAAAAAAAAAAACAAAAAACAAAAAACTGTGGTTGGTCTCCACACCCCTAGGCGCCACATCACTTGGGGACCCCAGTATTCATAAATTTTAAAAGCTCCCTAGCAGTTCCTATTATGAAGTACTGGTTTAGTTAGGCTGGATGACTTTTAAGTCCATTCCTACTCTCATATTTGAATATAGTAACATTCAACAGCAAATCCAATCTTTTTTACCTTTCATCCTTAGTAGTTTGGTTTTGTGTCAGTAGGTGGGTCACGGGAGCATATAGTTCATCAATTACCACACCTACCAACAAGAGGTCTGCTTCTAAATATACTTGTTTGGATGTTTTCCTTGGTTTCTATGGACTGTTTCCTGTGGGGGTTTTTTTTAATTGAATTCAATTCTACCAATATGTATTGGAAACCTATTATGCACAATGAGAGGGGATGATACATGGAACTGGGATAGAAAGGTGAGGAACATATATTCCCTGCTATTTATAAAAGTCATGCTGTAGTGCTTGCTGTCTCTTGTGCTTTCCTGTTTTAAAATTCACATGATTTATTTTTAAAACAGAACTCTGCACCTTACAATCACCTTTGTTATCAATGTTCTTTCATGAGATGATACCAATCAGAAGTTAGATGTAAATACCATATGAGTTAAGATTAGTCTCATTCACAGCAAGAAGTTCCTCTTTTACATAACAGTTGGGATGTGATCAATTTCAGGTGATAAGGTGTCTCCATGGTGACATGCATCCAAGCACCTCTCATATGATTACTATACCATTCTTATTTGACTATATCGGAATCCGCAAAACATGGCATCCAATTATGGGTCTAAGATGGCCACTCCAGGTAGTACCATTTCATCCACTTTCCAACTACAGAGAAGGGGAAAGTAAGATCCTTCTCCTTAAGAGAACAATCTGAAAATTATGTAGTTCATGTCTGTTTACATTGCATTGACCAGGACGTCCTCTGTGGACACATCTAACGTCAAGGAGGGTGAGAAAGGTGGTTTTTATAGTAATCAGACATCTAGTTGGTTCTATTGTTCAGTGTTCTGGTAGAAACTCCTTGTATGTCATTCTTCCACTCCCCCCCCCCCTTTTTTAATATGTGTTTATTGATTTCAGAGAGGAAGGGAGAGGGAGAGAGAGGTAGAAACATCACTGATGAGTGAGAATCATTGATCGGCTCCACACTGGGGATTGAGCCTGCAACCCGGTCATGTGCCCTGACCAGGAATTGATCCGTGATCTCCTGGTTCATAGGTTGATGTTCACCCACTGAGCCATGCCAGCCAAACCCCTCTTTTTAAAAATACTGAAAATATGCAATCGAATAAGTCTTTTTATAAGTATATGGCTATTATTAAATGATGGTGATAGAAAAACTACAGGAAAAATATGAACATCTGTTCAGTTTTTGCCTAGCAGCTGTTTGATACACTTGTAACATTCTTCACTACCGACTTTAAGTCCTACCTCTTCCTCTAATTAGCTGTGTGATTTTAATATGTCACTTGACATTTTGTGTCTTGTTTTCTTTCTCTGGAAAAGAGAATAATATCATCTAACTCTCAAGGTTGTTCTCCTGATTAAATGAATTCATGGATGTAAAAGTGTTTTTGAAAACTGGAAAGCACAATTCAGATGTTCAGTGGGTGGTATTATTGCACATTGCACAAGGCCTTGTAGTGAGGCACTGCCTTCCATTGACAAATCTTGAGGTGTTATCATTCTGGAGCAGTTACCTTGATCCTATTTCTAGAATCCAGGGACAGCCTGGTGCTTCACTGCCTCCACCAGAATCTTCCAGCTGGGGATGGGTTCCCTGGCTAACTACAGATCCAGAAGGCAGGTCAGGTCACTACCTATATTTCTTAACTGCCTGTTAAGCGAGCATGGAGTCCTTTTGGTTTTTCTTAATTTTCCGATACTAATATTCATTGGTAGTGTCATCAATAATAATCTAGAATCACAAGTCAATTTTCTAAAGCTCACGTGTACCTTCATTGAATTACTGTACCTTCATTGAATTACTCATTCATTTTCTACTCTGAGTTTCCATGTCTTCAGTGTTGCTCTTCTATATGCATTTATCCGCTTACTTTTCATTCATTCATCAAACATGTATGGAGGCCCTACTATTTCAAGCACTGGGGACCAAAGGCAAATAAAGTACAGTTCTTCGAGGTGACTTAAATGTATTTGGTGTACCTGGCACTTAGTAGGCCTTCAGTAGATGTTTGTTGTCCCTTCCTCCTCCCATGTTGCTCAGTTAACCTACCTGGTGCATCACTGACTATTGTGAATGTGTCCAGGAGAGACGGGTGGTGCTATGTGCTCAGAACGTCTGCAGCATAGATTCTTTTTCATTGGGCACAGCACGGATTTAGGGACTTCACATAGATTTCATCAGAATAAGGAGAAATTATTAAAATTTTGGTTTTGCTTCCCAGCCCCAGCTTCATGTACAGACCACAATGATAGAGTATCTTCCACTTTAATCCTTCTCCCCTTCCTTGATCCATTCCTCACCAAAGCATTTTAGACATAAAGTTCAGTAGGGAAGCATGGGGGATGGGATAGAAATCATCCTAACTTCCTCTTGCCCCTTCTCCTACCCTAAATTCTCAAAAGACATTATTGGAATGCACTATGGTTTTGGTAACAATACACCAATTTTAAAGTCTCTCCTCTTTGACATTAGTCAAATTTTTCTTCCTTTTGTAGGCTGTCAGCCAGATGAAACAGCAAAAATATTCGACAAAAGTCTCCTTCAGTTCACAAGAGCTACCTTTAGCACCAGGTCCATCACACCATTCAACAGAGGCAGTCTCCACGGGCTGTGGTAAGTTCTCTCTCTGAGCAGAATGGAATTGACTCATACTTTTAAAAAGGAAGGGATTGTCCTAGCCAGTTAGTTTCTCAGTGGTTAGAGCACTGGCCATTGAAGGGTCTCAGGTTTGATTCCGATCAAGGGTACATATTTAGGTGGTAGGCTTGATCCCCCCAGTGGTTGGGACAAGTGTGGGAGGCAACTAAATAATTGATGTGTCTCTTTCACATCAATGTTTCTCTCTCTCTTTCTGACTCTCCCTCTCCCTCCCACTCTCTCTAAAAATCAATGGAAAAAATATCCTCAGGTGAGGATTAACAAACAAAAAAAAAGTTCTCACAGCCCTCTGGCATGCACCAAACCTGTTTTACATATATAATTTAAATTGATTCTCCTCCCACAGCCTGTTCCCAGGCAGTATTACTCACAGCCTAGCTGGGGACGCTGTCAACTAGAGAAAGTAGAGACTTACTCTAATTCTGATTTTATTCTAACAAAGCCACACCACAGATAGAAAAACAGAGCCACCACCTACTGAACTTCTAAACACAACTGGACACTAGCCTATTTCATACAATCACATGTCCCAGAAGGCAAGAGGATGGCTGGAACTCCTTTATTTTATTTTGTACTACACATATTTGGAAAACAAATAAACTTGGAAAGAGGTCAAAGTGCACAAGTGATTGGAAAATGCAAAACTCTCTCTTTCTGACTCTCCCTCTCCCTCCCACTCTCTCTAAAAATCAATGGAAAAAATATCCTCAGGTGAGGATTAACAAACAAAAAAAAAGACCAAAAAAAAAAAGGAAGGGATGGTGAGGTCCTGAAAAGAGCACTAAACTAGGAGTCAGAAAGCTGGGCTTTGCGCCCCTCCTCCACTCCCTTAGCTTTGAGCTTGGCCAAGTCACTTTACTTCCTGTACCATTTTCCTCATCTCTACCATTGGGATTGCCTATTGCACATTGAATATAAAAGTACTAGCAGGGGAAAGGCCCTCAGTAAATGCTGTTTGAATCTGAAGCTTACAAATTATTCTCTAATCTCTCCAAAAGATTGTGTTTACTTCATGAATAATGTCTCTTAAAAATCATTCAAGCCCAATTGTTAGCCTTGCATATGTTGATGTAAGCTGTTTGAAGACTGATAATTTTCAGTGCTTAGAGAAATTAGTATTCACTCTTCTCTCTTTGAATTCCTGGCTTGAATTATGATGACTGGCGGTTGAAAATAGAACTTCAAAATGAATAATGAGTATTTCCATTTTGCTTTTATGCAATATAAGTCAGTTAAAGCGGGGGGGGGGGGGGGGAGGAAGGAGGACTATTTACAACACCATGCTCACCAATGACAAAGCATAAATCTACATGAATTTTTAGCACGACTAACACCTTATGGTATTTATCCTTTGCATATTTTTCATAAATATTAGCTCATAAGAAATTTAACATGCAGATACTATTCTGAAGAACTGGATTTTTACTAAAATACCTGAAGAATGTGGTCAGCAAATGACCCCTGGGTCAAATTTGGCTTGCCCTCTGTTTTCATATGGTCTGCAAGCTACACATGTTCTTTATATTTTTTAAGAGTTGAAAAAAAATCAAAGGCATATTTAATGACAATGATGTGAAATTCACATTTCAGTGTCCATAAATAAAATTTTATTGAACACTCATTTGTTTATATCTTGTCTCAGGCTGTTTTCACACTCTAAGGATAAAGTTGAGTGGTTGCAACAGAGACCATATGCTCTATAAAGCCCAACGTATTTACTACCTGGCCTTTTCCTGGAAAAGTTTGCTGACTGCAATGGAGACCAACTGAGTTTTGATCATATATATCACATATGTATGCCTCAATAACAGAAATGAATCATCCTACAATTTAATCTGTGGAAATGTATTCAGTCAGTCACCTACTTATCCAGCCTTTATTGGGGACTTGGTATGCATGAGGCTCTGGGCTGGATCCTATGAGAGAAATAAATAGCCAGACTGAGTCCGGGCTGGCTGGGGTGAGGCAAAAGTGGCGGAGGGAAGGAAGGGCCATCGCCAGCATCTCTGACTATGTGTTCACTCTCTTCTCACTCGAGACTAAACTAGTCATTTACAAAAGAGTATAAACTTTTTAAAGCACCCATGAAATGGATGTACATTGTCTTTATTGTTAGTAAAGGGGATATGAAGTATGAAATACACATGCTGCAAAAACATCAAGAGACAAATCAGGTTTATAACATTCTACTTCTAATATAGCTTTTTTTTTATTGTTACTGAGGTTGTGTCCCTAAATTTCTCACTCTTCACCGAGAGACCATTAGATTAATAAATTCCATATGGTCAGGAACAGCAGATATATGAATGCTACAATCTGCCAGACCCTGGGCAAGGTGCCTCACACACATTTCATTCCTCTAACAGCCTATTAGGTGGTGGTTCCATCATTTCTCTGATGAGGAGTGAGTGTCAGTTGCACCCACCCGCTAGTTTTTCTCTTGGGAGCTCAAATTCAAACTTGTGCCCTCTTGTCACAAAGACCATGATTATTGCTTAGTCAGAGCAGAACCCCCACAGTCTTCCCTAGAGCCTGTTCCCTTTTGTTTTATACCAGGGATTAGCCAACTTTTTCTGTAAAGAGCCAGATAGTAAATTTTGAAGGCTTGCGGGCCATCTGGTCTCTGTTGCAGCTACTCCACTGTGCCATTGTAGTGTGATAGCAGCCGCAGACTAGATGTAAATGAAGGAGCAGGGCTTTGTTCCAGTGCAGCTTTATTTGTGGGTGTTGAAATTTGAGTTTTATATAATTTTCAGGTGTCTTGAAATACTATTTTTCTTTTTCTTTTTTTTCAACTTTCTAAAAATGTAAAAGTCATTCTTGGCCCTCAGGCCATATGTAGTCAGTCCGCATGCCCTTGCTTCCACATAATTTAATGAGCTTTGTGGGTCTCAGTGTGGCCCCAGTGCATTAGCTGCAGGTGACCAGCAGATGGGGCCCTCTATTATCAGCCCCTTACTAAATCACATCAAACGTAAGAATCAATACTTACGATGACCAAACTTAGTTATAAAAAAAAGAGACATCTCTGAAGACTATTATTTGTATAAGACTCTTGAAAATAACATTTGACTGTTTTGATTTTTCAATGGGTTAGCTTTAGTCATCTGAAAAATGCAGATATGTAGAATTTATGCTAGACAAATGGGTATTAAAAATCGTTTCTGCCTGGCTGGTGTGGCTCAGTGGTTGAGCATGGACCTATGAACCAGGAGATCACGGTTCAATTCCTGGTCAGGGCACATGCCTGGGTGGCAGGCTTGATCCCCACTAGAGGGCTTATAGGAGGCAGCCAATTAATGTTTCTGTCTCTCTATCCCTCTCCCTTCCTCTCTGAAATCAATAAAAATATATATTAAAAATCTTTTATCAGCCAATAAATTTTTCTCTCCTAGCTTTTAGAAAAACCCAGTCTAAAACAATAGTTCCAAAAAGTAAATCTTTATAGAAGACCAATAATACATACTTTTAACAAGCTTTTCATTTATGGAGCCAGCAATTAATTCTTGAGTTGTGTTTATATAACACTTTTTTTTTTTTTTACTATGTATACATTTGGGATCATTTTTAGGTATTGATTTTGCTTGTTTTTTTCAGTTACATCATAATTTATGGTGTATTTTAAGATTGAAAATTTTCAAGCTAACATGGATGATTGGGAAGGGGGTTAGTTATTGCTTTAATCTCAAAAGTGTCATAGGAATGTCATGTTTCATCTCTGGGTGAATGGGCAGGAATGACCCAGCCTTTTCCTCCGTGGTGCTTGGCAGGAAAAGAGTGAAATGATAAACACATGCAGAGCGTGTGTGCGAGCGGAGCTTCATCTCCTGCCTGCCAGTTACTCCGTGTTCACTCCTTCTCCAGGTGGTTTCCAGGCACCTCTGTCAGTGGATCCTGCCACGTGTCCCATTGTCCCCGGCCAGGAGATGATCATAGAAATATCCAAGGGACATTCGGGGCTTGGCCTCAGCATTGTGGGAGGAAGAGACACACCCTTGGTAAGTTTCTACATGTGAAATGTAGCCACTGTCACAAAGTTACTCTTGAGCCTCCTTGTGGCCATGTGTCACTTTATGGAAGAGTTTGTTTTTTTATGGTATGGGGAAAATAAATAATTGTAAATGGGCTTATATCCATATTCTGGGCAGCTTTCAAATGTTTCTGAGTGTTTAATAGTCAGGATTTTGTCCATCTAGGAGGCTGAATATTTTTTATAAGTGCTGATTAGATCAACTACATCATAGCAGCATTTAGAACTATTATAACAATGTTTAGGATGGTGCCTGGATATACAAACTGTAAATATAGGTATGAACTGTTGCTGTTATCATCATCATTATTATTTAATGGAGTGCTAGATAAAAGTATACATCAGTTCTAGCCCAGCAATTTAGCTTTGCTTTACTCTCACATGGTCTCATTCAGTCATAATTTTTTTTAAATTGGTCTAGAAAGTTAGTTTCTGCTTGGATGATAGATCTTTGATTATGTAGTACCTTTTCATTGTCACTAATCAATAGTGCCATTAGAATGTAAAACATCATGGGTTTTTATTTCCTCAAGATGTGATTAATCAATGCATGTATATTTGAATAAGTAATGTATTCACGAAGTTTAATTGACACAAAAGGATATGAAGTGAAAAATAAATATCCCTCCTGTCCTTTTGCCCTAGGCTTGCCCTCTACCCCACCCCAGCTTCAACCAGGGCCTCTCCTTAGAGACAATCACTCTTATTAATGTATATGTTTTTTTAAAATGAATATTTTGATATTTCTTTTGCCTATTTTATTTAGTAAGGAATAAATTATATATGCCAGGTTTACAGATAAAAATAACTATAATATGATTAATAAAATGATGTTTCCCATTTTTGGCAGGAATATAATGTTTCTGTGCTAGTAGTATCAAGGGGTGAGAAGGTCCTATTCTGTTTTTCTGTAACAGCTATTAGCCCCCTAAAGCACTAGGCAACCCAAACACAGTATATGCTACAGAAACCGGGGTCTTAATGCCTTGCCCATGTTTCCTAGTCATGGTCCTTCTCTCTTCTGCTATCAGGCCCAACCTAGAGAATCCCGATGTTTTGTTCCATCCTACTAGTGAAGCACCTGAGCCTGATGTGCTCAAAGGCCAGTGTTTGTTTATTAAAACACTAGAGACCCAGTGCATGAAATCCATGCACTGAGTAGGGTCCCTAGGCCTGGTCAGCAACCAGGGCCAATCTATGGGGTGATCGGGGGCCCCCTGCTGGCACCCTCCTTGGCTGGCCTGGGGCCTACAGGTTGGGGGAAGCACCTGCATTGAGCATCTGCCCCCTGGTGGTCAGTGCATGTCATAGTGATTGGTTGTTACGCTGTTCAGTCGATTTGCGTATTAGGCTTTTATTATATAGGATTTCATCTTCTTCCGTTTGATGAAAGCTTGCTAAAAGCTTTTCTCCAGAGTTGAGGATAACTTATTTCCTGAATGATCTCCATTTGCCTCTGCAGGCAGGAACTGCTGCGTGTGGCTTCCCGTATGCACTACGTTTTTCCATCAGCATGGATAGAAGTAGAAACAGCTAATTTAACTAGCTCAACAGCCAGTTTTAGCTCCCAGCCTTTTCATGGGTCTTTGCCTTCTTAAGGCTGCCGAACTTTTCTACATTTCTCATTGTTTGGCTTGGAATGTTCTCTGTTATTGAGGAAAGGGGTAAACTCTTCCTTAAGTTTCCCTTTAAGTGACTTGATCTGGGCTACATTTTTTCATTGTATTTTTAATAAGGCCTCCTAATTATATGGGATCTGGTCTTTGAGATGTTCATAGAAACGCTTTGGCCCACCCTCCAGCCAGCTCCTAATATGGACAGAAAGTAACACACCACCAACATAGCACCAGAGCAGACCCCGTTCCCCAAACCTGCAATGCAATCCAGCCTCTCAGACCTGCCCCACTCCCCTCAAATTGCTCTCTTTCTGCCCTCTTCCCTCCCCACTATCCTCACCAAGATTCTTTACCTTCTATAGAATGTCTTGCCTAACTTTTTCAGCTTCTATGGCCTCTCCTCTTCTGGTCTCCAAGCTGATGGTTGACTGCTCATTTCTCTGTTAGCTCTCAGTCATATTTCTTCTCGACCATTTATCAGCTGGAACGGGGTCCTTAACCTCTCAGAGTTCATTTCCTGACCCATGGTCTATTAATAGGGAATCTGTAATCTCTTACAGAGTGGCTAGGAGGATCGATGAGATGACCAGTATATGGTGCTTAGCCAGGGTGCCTAGCACATAGTAAGCAATTGCACTTGACATGTACCTTCTCCAAGCCTCAGTTTCCATGCTTAATAATCCTCACCCACTGGGTTGTGGTGAGGATCAGAGACTTCATAAACAGTAGGGAAGTATGTGTAGATATTACTAAGGCCATTGGGGTGGTATTCAGAAACTACTGGTTGACTCTGAACATTGGGTGTACCTTCCTTCCAGGGCCTGTTTTCTCATTTTCCTAAAGAGATGCTTCTGAATGTTTAATCATTACATTTGTATCATAAAGCTACATTTGAAATGAATCAAGCGTAGAAAAATGTGTAGTGAATTCTTTCATAAGCAAAAAGGAACCTTTTTACTTCTTGCAAATATTTGCAAGAAATATAAGGAACCTTATATATTTGCAAGAAATATGTTTCTTGCAAATATAAGTCTCTTTATACTGCTTAAAATAAGGCAGAGCTGGGTTTCCCACCGATCAGAAGACTTGAGTCAGCATGTCTGGCCTAGCTGAATGAGTTTGTTAGCTGATATATGTATATATATTTGCTTTTGTTGTTATTAATTCTACTTTGCCTTGTGTGGGCTGGTTAGAAAAGCTAAATAAGATGTGCCCACGCTGTTCGTGGGTCTTTAATATTGCATATGTTTGTGCTACTGGCTGCCAGGCTGCGGGCTTCTGCTGCTCCCATCCCCTCCTGCATCCTGGGTGTGAGGCTGCTTGTTAAATACTATGCTCCGCTTCTCTTGCCACCATGAGGCCACCAAAAATTGCCTTAAGAGCATCTTGAGGTCCATAATATATAACCCTGCCTTTTGAGACCGTAAATCCCATTGTCCTTGGAAGGCTAAGCACCACTTAAAAATGAGAAATGGGGCACAGCTTTTATTTCCTAACCTCGGGTACCTCATCAAATCGGTAAGTTAGACGCACTGTAATGTCTAGGCATGTCGTTTTGGTGAGGCTGAACAGCACGGGGTAGAAGGTGCACTAACAAATAAAACCATTGTTTATCACCATGAAGGTCTTTCTTTTTCCCCCTCCAAATTTTAGCATGGAACATGCAGCTTAATCAACACTCCAGGTCACATGATCCAGTCAGATCCTGGGAGGGCATCCAGCCAGCAGGAAGTTAGCAGAGCAAGACGAGACCATAGGAAAGGAAACTGTGGACAATGTTGACACTCACTCTCAAAAGTGCCTTTGCACTTGCCCTTGCGCATTTGATTATGTGGCGCATCCTTGCTTCAGCTCTGGTGCCGGGAAAGAGCACGTTTTGCGTGCCCGTGACTCTTCTCAAGCATCTGCTCCAACCTTCCCAATTAGGGTTTCTGTTCCCTCTTTGTTGTTTGTCCAACAGATATTTTTGCTGTCTTGAGTGGAATTAAACCTCTGGGACTTGATCTTGACACCACATCAGTCCTATCTGCTATAAATAGTGTCTCTGGAGCGGAGACAGATGGTTTCCGAGATCACAGAGGGAGATCTCATTTAGCATCCCAATGCATTTGCAGAAGATCATCTAAATAGACCTTTTAAAATACCAAGATAATGATGAGGGTGAGCCTCCAGGAGGGTTTATGAGCACACCTGGACCCAATCCTCCACGACAAACCCTGCCTCTGTTGTTTTAATCTTCTGATGTGCTCCCAGGTCTGCTTTTGGCGAATATGGCTCTTCTGTGATAGGTTGCATATGTTTGCTCAAAGGCTGCCCCTTGCTTAGTCTAAGAATACAAAATTGAGTGAAAAACCCTGTCTTCAAAGAGCTCACACGTTCATTCAAGTTGATTCTACTGCTTTAATGTTTATGGTGTAATATAGGGAATCAGCCAATGAAAAATCATAACAGGGGCTATTAAAACAGGGACTTCCTCTGGAAAGTAGAAAAAAGTAGAGGTTAGTACACACTTTATAGATTTAATTAATGTAGGCTAGGTTTTATATGTGTCTCACAAGCCAGTGTCTTAGTCCATTTGGGCCGCTATAACAAAATACCACAGACTGGGTGGCTTATAAACAACAGAAATTTATTTCTCACAGATCTGGAGGCTGAAGTCCAAGACCAGGGTACCAGCATGGTTGATTGAGGGTCTCTGGGTTACAGGCTTCTCGTTATCCTCTCCTGATGAAAGGATCAAGGGAGTGCTATGGGGCCTCTTTTTTAAGGCACAGATCCCACTCAGGAGGGCTTTGCCCTTGTGACCTAATCACTTTCCAAAGGCCCTTCCTCCTAATATCACATGGGACTTCAACTTGTGAATTTGAGGGGAAGACACAGCCAGGAAACCAGATCGACATGTTGCATAAAAGAGATAGTATCTTAACGCATATTTTTTATTTCCTTCTACCCAACTATCTATCCATCCCTTCACCCTGTCTTCCCCTCCCTCCCTCTCTTTGGTCTTGGAATGGTAATTTGCATGAAATCTTGCAGCTCAGAGGACTTGGCCTATTCTGCCAAAGGAAAGACCAGGGACTCTTACATCTTACAATGATTATACCATATTCCTCAAACCTCTCCCTGAAGCCCTCAATGCCCTCTTCTCAGACACGTTTGCTTGCTGATTAGAAGGTGTTTTTTCTCCATTGTCCTCTGCCTGGGGAATTCTAGAGAAGAGAAGAAAAAACTTAAAAAATGAATCTTTTATCTTAGAGTTTCAGCAGACGTGAACTGTTCTTGGGACTGAACAGTAACGTGGAGAAAGAACGAAGTAAGTTTCTTCGGGACCCTCACGCTGTCCGTTTCCTTT